GCAACTATTGGTAAAGTTTTTTCATTTTTTGTTAAAAAGATTGCCTTGAAAATTTGTGTTTTTACAAAAAAAAATAAAAAATGATTTTTGTGTTGGACCAGTACTACTAGTACGAAATACTTTTAAACTAATTCAAAAAAAATTTAATACAAAAATCACTTTAAATGCAAATCGGAAATGCTGCACTGATGAGATAAAAACAAGTTTTTTTGTGAGCAATATCTAACAGCTCATTTAAACGCTTGATGTTCTTGTTAATATCATGCCCATGAAATTTGTGAGTTTCCTTATCAAAAAACCGTTTTACCTTTTCCAGTTTAGTTTTGTTTGCTTGATCATTCTCGATCAACGCTTTAATCGCTGGAACCCAGTCCATCGTTTCTTCCAGATCTGCCAATGAGGCCCTCGCGAGGTACACCTTAATTGCCTTGTTAATCTGCTCTGCTTTGCTTTTCAACGAGTGGTGCGCCGCAACTGCCTTATCTAGCGAAACCAACTTTCCACTAAAAAGCCAGGGATTCAACTTTACATTCTTGTTCCACTCGTTGAGGGCGTCGGGCTTGTTGAGGTTGGCACTGCCGCCAAAGTAGTGCAGACTGGAAATACTGTGCGAGTTGAACTTAGAGTCCACCAGCTGCTGGGCAGCAGTCACCGAGATACTCGCCTTGGCCACAAACTCCACACTGGCGCCAATTTCTGCTGATATCTCCTGTTTGCTGATTTTGCCCACATAAGAACTGTCGATTTCAGTACGAACGACCATGCTTCCACCAAAGCGACCCACGCTGAAGTAATGCGTTCCAAACTGTTCAATGAACTCGATGTAGTGCGACTGGTGGTGGCCAAAGTCGTCCGGAAGTTTTTCTACTGCGTGGCGAAATTTGTCCGACAACGTGACGTAATCTTTTAGTTCAACTTCATAGGCAGATTGGTGAGCTGAAGTCTAAACAAATGAGAGCAAGAAAATCATAAAATGATTAAAAAAAGGTTTTTTTGTTTCATTTGGCCAGCACTTACTATTGCTACGCTTTTTGATTTTTTCACTATGTTCTCTTTTGAGGTCTTGTAGCCACCGCTTTCAGAGAAACCGATGCTTTTAAAAAAGCCCCCCAAACCAGCCTGTACTCCTAACGACACTTTCACATCACGCACCGTGGTGGACATGTCCACGACAAAGTCCATGTTGCCTTCGGGTACCATGCGCACGTCCTGAAAGTCCACCGGCATGCTGTAGTGGGTGTGGTGGCCGGTTTTCTCATT